TAATTTTCGTGTACATGACGTTTAATTCACGTGTACATGGCATTAATTCACGTGTACATGGCATTAATTCACGTGTACATGGCGTTAATTTAAGTGGACATGGCATTAATTTACGTGTACGTGGCGTTAATTTTCGTGTACATGGCGTTAATTCACGTGTACATGGCGTTAATTTACGTGTACATGGCGTTAATTTACGTGGACATGGCATTAATATACGTGTAAATGTCGTTAATTTACGTGTACATGGCGTTAATTTAAGTGTACATGGCGTTAATATACGTGCACATGGCGTTAATTTGCGTGTACATGGCATTAATTTTCGTGTACATGGCATTAATTCACGTGTACATGGCGTTACTGACCTGCACTGCAGCAATTGCGTTATTAGCAACGATTTTATAATTCGTTTAGCCTTTAATGTGATGTTAAGAACACATTTAGATGACGAGCAAGTGATGATCACTCATTCATCGATGATACAGGCATTAGAAAACTATCATTTTCCGTGCAGAAATAGCCATGCTGTCTCATAACGCAAACGAGATGTATGATTATTAGGCAACTATACAACTATAGGCCAACTTATTTTGGTGAAAATCAGACACTTAATAAATTTTTTGTGAAAAGACTAGAGCTTCACCTCCAAATTCTGTACGAACATCATCCTCTCGTACTCGTACATAATATAAATCGTTTCTGGAGGATGACCTATCATAATCGACATTCCCTTACGAAGAAGCAAACACTCCGTATTTTTAAGCAAAAAATACATTTTCTTGTTTACACCAAATTGTTTAGTATTGACATTGAAAAGTTCACATTAATAAAACAAATTAACATTAATATGTCGAAAAATTATTGAAATTTCAAATCTTTATGACTTTATCTTATGTGACGTTTATGGTTCATTTCGTGCACTGAACAATGAATGAACCTCTGATCGAGTGACGTTAGTATTTTATATGGAGAACATCACGTTAAGTTACACTAGAAATATCTTAGTGTAACTGACTGACTTGAGTGCACATGTTAAAGAGTGGCTAATTAATTATTCATTCATCAAACAAGTATAGCTCAATGCGTTGGTATTATTCACTTTTAACAACTAGTTAAAATAATAAATAAAAATTACATTGGCATTTTAGTAAAAGTGGCAGAGTGACGAATTGAAGTGAGGTATATATTTTTGAATTACATTAATCGTAATCATTAATTGAATTAATCGTAGTATCCCAGCAGCCATTGACGTATTCATTGAAAGATAAAAAAATTTTCAACTTCGTTTATTATTTTTTTGCACGGATACATATTTATTTTCCAATGTTATTTGTATCTTGAGCGCATCAAAGTAACTTCCCCTTGGTAGACAAAAGGTCAAAGATGCTGTAAACTTATCATGAACTCAACCATCGATTAAATTACTAGAAAGAAATGATACGTATCATTCAACTTATAGTATAATTATATGTCAACATCATTTTATATAATTTTTGTATTAGACCTACAATAAATACCACTTATACTGAATAACCTCAAGGCAAACCCGAAATAACATCGCCTTGCCTACACGGGAACTCGTTCTATAGATACGGTGAACATCAGTTATATTGTACATATATTTCTTGAACACACAATATATATTTTTCTTGTAGAGGACCATTTTCACACATATATTTCTTATGGCTATTATAATATTTATATATATTTCTTTACAAATAGTTTTGGAAATCAATGTTTTTCGTTTCACCTCCATACTTGTTTCGTTTTCCTATTATTTCATTGACTGAGCAGACAAATTTCGCAAATTTTTTAGTCCTACTGACTCAAGCTTGTACTTGTCGTTAATTTAATTTGTCATGCTCGCCTTTCAACTTAATGTTTGTGTTCAACTTAATGTAATGTTCAACTTAATGTTCACATTAATGTTTATCATAAAATACTATTATACCTTGTTGGAAAAAGCATTTTTCAACAAGCAGTTGAAAAAAGCAGAAAGCATGCAGTGGAAAAACAAAAATTCTCATTAAACGATGAAATATTTTGAGATTTGCCCGCACGAGCCAATATTCCTATTTTATTTTTATTCTCCCGTACGTATCGGCCGTCTGTTAACCTAATTTTTTTATTATTTATGTAGTAATTTGCATGTCTTTTCAATGGTATTGTCCAGATCACCAGACCTCTTCATGTTCGAACAAGATGACGTGACACGGAACATGTTCGAACATGGTGACGTGACGCGGAACATGTTCGAACATGGTGACGTGACACGGAACATGTTATAACACGATCGAATACATGCTCGTCGCTACACATTAACATGATTGAAACATGATCCTGTCACTCGGTTTCATATTAACTTCATCAGTCCAGAGGCCGAAGCATTGACAATCATTCTCTACATCCTATTTATAACAAAAAAACTGCAAGCTAAAATTTTGCACGTTTCAGATTTTTTGGAACTCAGCAAATATTGCAAATTGTGAGTAAGCTTTTCAATGTTTCGCCTAGGCGTTTGGTACGTAACCTTGTATAGATAAATTATTCCAGCAGTTGGATCAGTATATATTTAATAATAGAACATTTATATATTCTTATACTCGTATGCTGTTATTATATTCTAGCTATAAAATTTTCTTTCAATAAAAATATTCCAGATGATAGAATCGAACAAGTTCCTCCAATCTCTCAGAAAGTCTCGATAATTCCTGTCAAATATTTATTTGAAACTATGACTGGAATTTCGAAGCAAATGAGAAATTGTCTCTGAATCGTTTTATATGCGTAAGGATATAAATACAGAAGATATGTAGCGTAACACTGGTATTGCAAAGAATACTCTACGATTAATACAAATTATTTATGTTTTAAATAATACAACTATTATGGGATGGAAAATTGGAAAACAACAAACTGGAATGTTTTGAATATATAAACCAAATAAATCATTTTAGCGAATAAATAGAATTTGAATGAATTAGACAATACCCGATATTACGAAAAAACCTAATTTCTCTGAGGTGGCCCTGAACATGTCCTAACATGATGACGGACATGAAACATGTTCCAACATGATTACGAACACGTCATTAGGAACATGTCCTAACATGATGACGCGATAGAAAATTTGGATTCTAAACGAATTTCCCTTCCACCCAAATGAAAATCGAAAATCCAATTACGTTTCAAACATCTAATTGTTATCTTTGCAATCGTCGGTGGTCAAATAGTAAGACAATGACTCAGCATTCCCGACGTCCGCGTTCGTGACCTGGGACTGAATTTATGAGGTTGCAAAGTCTGATGTTTCACCGCCCAGCGGATCGGCCTACATGACTCTTATTTAGCACTACGCTCTTTGTAATACTATACATTACTACTTACATTAATATAGTAAGATTTTGACTATTCTCTTAGTACTAGTGTATTGATAGTGTCGCCCAGTGTATTGATAGGAGGTCGTTACATGAAGCTTGTATCTGCTTTAAATGACGTTTTTGATGTATAGCAACCTCCGACATTGGTATAGGGGACATATTATTAAATATTACTGTATTTTTAGACTGGGTATGTAGACAATAGAAATGTGCAATTTTTATTAGCAACTGAGTTGTAGACTTCTTTTAGCGCTCTCCTAATCACTCCAATTACCTGTTTGTGGTCTTTTTCATCATTAAGCAAATCAGACTAACTATTGTACAAAGCTTCACCATGACTTCTTTTTAGCGGAGTAACATAATAGCTTTCTATTGCTGACTATATAAGCGAACGTCTTTGTGTATTTGTGTACGTAGAAACACAGCTTGGTTACACTACATAGAAAGTAGCTTAATCGAACACATGCTTTCTTTGAGTTCCTAAAGTAGTGTCATAAGAATTTTTCAACCACGCAAAAAGAAGCTCAAATCTAGGGCAGCAATTCACTAACGTTGTTTCGGGACAATCTTACCAGCGAATGCACTCACACCATGCAGCCGTGTTCTCGATCTTTCTTTTTTTTTGGGGCTATTGGTTACTGGACATTGGATCGGTACTGTTAAATTTAAGTTCAATTGGTCATTTTGTGAAAATTGAGTGTAGCTTCTGAGCAACACGGAGGTCCAATTTATTTTAAACCTGGAAAACTAAACTAAACATGTGCAACTAATCTTAAATTCTCATGTAACATTCTTTACCAACATGAGAAAATATTTCAAATACCGGTAAATACGCCTTCGGATCTTCTTATTATTGACCGTGATTTGGAGCTAAAAATCTTGTTGAATGTAAACATTTCCGATTGTTGTATTATCGATTAACGCAGCGTAAAAGATGGAAAACATTATTCCATTTTTCGCTCTTTCGGTGTCTCTGAAACCCAATCTTAGGTACCTGCTGCTTTGGATTTAACCATTAACAAAAGTGTTAGATATGAAATACTTATAGTTTATGACAGCTTGAACCTGAATTGACTTTCAACTAAATTTGGAGCAATAAGTTGCTTATTTTCAATGCATACGGCCTTTTCAGCAAGGTTTTAAATTATGTTGTGTTTGAAAATTCTGGTGCGGTTATTAATATTTCATTAAAGTTTTATAAGCGATAGAAAAAATTCTGAAAATTAACTTATTTACTAATTTTTTGCCTTCCCTGTATTTTCATAACTAAAGGTGTAGAGAAAAAGAAATAATTCAAACCCTATCAAAATTTGGCGAGCCTGGCGAGCCTGAATTAGGAACCGCCTAGGACTCGGACCGAACGTAAATCAGCTTCTCTATGTCCGCTTTTTAGTCTACATTCCGGCCCCCGAATCAGACAGCTACCAGAGCCTGGTGAAGGGACTGAGGGGTTTCTGCCAACTCTTGCCCTACTCTCAGGAGACTATAAAGTCGGCCAGGAGGTTCTGACTAGTCGCTGATTGCGATCAGTTGGCCAACTGACCCAGAATAACTTTGCGCCGAGTGTAGTGACTATTCGGCCGAAGCCTATGCGGTCCCCTAATTTTGTTAGGGAAGTTTTGCTTACTCATTTTGATCAAAATAAATTATTTTAAACTAGATATGTAACATAAGTTCATTTTGGTTAAAAAGCAAACATTGAGAAACCTCTTCACTATCGGCAGGCTTCTACTCGTATATATATAGGTGCCCAAAACGTTTATCTGAAACTCTCCTACCATTATTTCTTGTTGATGAAACCGATCTAATTACGTGGTACTTTTGCCTGGCTAATTTCAGATCAAGATCTTTCATTCACATTTTACCGCTGCTCAACTTTATCGCTATTTCGTGCATTCATTGTCATTGAGACATAATTACTTCATAGATTTCATTAGATGAAACACACCCGTCCTTTCTAATACTGACTGAAAACGGCGTAGCTGAGATCAAGATCAATACTCCACATCAACCTTCTATTCATAGGGACTTTCTGCCACAGCCACCAACTATCATCACATAACGAACACTTATTCTTATTCATCGGCTTTTTCTCCCCGTCTCCTTCCATTTGCCAAAACAACGCACTAAAAGCTATGATCACATTCTCGTGTTATTTCCTTGGGCTTTATTCTTACGCAATGTTTCCCACTAAGCAATATGAATAAGTGTCTAATAAAGTAAAAGTATCATTCTGTATCAAGTCAACTGCCTCTTCGGAGTGTACTATTCTGACGATGATAACAAAAAAATGAATCTATCTCTCTTCCGAGTATCATGCGATTTTAGTTGCCCAAATTATTAGACAACTGAAAGGAACATCAAAAATTGTCGCTTTCCGCTTCAATAAATCATACATCAAATATCTCCCAACAACGCAATGTAATTAAATTTTCAAGTTTTTTCTATGGAGCTGTTGAGGTTTCACTGCCTATATTTTTTCATTAACCGATGTTGTTCTATCCCTCCCTATTTCACGTCATTTGCAAACGGCCAAGGCCACTTGCATTTAATCAAAGTTCCCCAACGTAAGTCCATGGTGACACCGATTTATTTCCTTTGAACGTATAATTATCATTAATATATTCACATTCTCTTCTTGTTCTCGTGTGCTTTTTTAACGATGGCCAGCTTAGAATGTGGATCAGGAGCAGGTAGGTGCGTGTATGGGGCATCTCGAGTGCCATGCAGCATCAATGTCCACTCCTTCACCACGGCCTCCTCCTGACGACCTCCAGAGTTGAGGTGAACCTGTAGCGGAAATCCAGAGTCTTGGCGATGTTGCAGCATCAATGTCCACTCCTTCACCACGGCCTCCTCCTGACGACCTCCCGAGTTCAGGTGAACCTGTAGCGGAAATCCAGAGTCTTGGCGATGTTTCCGATATGATAATTATTGTAATAATTAGATGTTATTCAGATAATGAACTCCTCGAGGAAAAAATAGTACGCAAAATACTGAAGTACATAGCTGTGTCGGGGAAACTATCGTAAGCCCGACCGTAACATACGGGACCGTCCCGTAACTTGTAGTTAGTAAGTAATGTTAGTCCATTCTTCCCATTTATGTCAGTCAATCTCCAGCAAGCGTCCATATCACATGTCAAACTAATTCAATTTGTGTGTAGTCATTCATATTCCTGTTAATACTTCATTGTCCGTCATGTGTAAATAAACCATTCTAAACCATCGCCGACTTATACTGTAGAACCCGGGTTTATTCCATTGTATAGCAAGCCCTTTATATCATCCGCCACAAGCTGAGTATGAAATGTGATTGTTATTATCGATTATCGAGAAGATTAAACAGTGTCCAGTGCAGTTCACAAAGGGTATACTTATGCTCGTAATACGAATAAATTACATTATTTTACTCACTTCTTTGATTAAAATCTTAGCCTAGAACAAGTTTTTTTTTCGGTCGATTCCTGATATTTTATACGGAATATTTCTTTCAATACAGCAACAAAAGAAAAATTCTAAAACTTTTCATTCATCATTAGGAAAATAATATCAGTTAAAGTAACGAAATGAAATTAAGTCTCATTTTGAATTTTAATTATTTTTTTGTTGTATTATCAATATTATTCACCTCAAGCTTCCAGGTGCCCTTGGGGTTCTCGGCCCAGGTGTGAGTAGTCATGAAAGGCCATTTCGTGAAGCCGTCTGTGCTGTCGTCGTCATTGGGACGCTTGCTTAAAATCATCGACCTGTGCACCAAAATAAAGCAGGATTATAATGTAAACGGTAGGATATTTTGTATGGAGTAGCGTTGCATCTATTCAGGTTATCGTGTAATATAATTAGGATTAAAATTTTTAAATGGTTTAAGAACTGGGCATGAATAAAATTTCCAAAAAATTTAAAGTACACAGAAATTTTTTTATTCCACTACATGGCCATGACGACCTAAGTTGTACTTTTAGTAAATTATTTGAACTTGCACTTTACAATTAATGTATTTTTAGAAAAAAGTGTTGCCAATAGCAAATTAAAAATGAGAGAATATTTATAACCAAAGTTAAAAACATTTTTGGTGCTTGCATCTTCTTTTTCATATGCGCTTATTCATCGGTCAAGAAATATGACACCATGTCCCGAAAAAGCAAATCTATCAACCAACGCTGAAAATATAGGATTGAAATGTTGAAGTTGTATGTTGAAGATGTTGAAGTTGTATGTAGGCAAATCATAATCGATTTATTTCAGAACATCTCAAGTGCCATGGCTAACCTATTTGTTTTCATAGTTATGTCGGCGCTGAAGAATAGGCTATAAGTGGACCGGTTCTGTTTATATTGCATAAAGGCACGCGTTCATCACGCAAAGTAATATCTCATCAATCATCTGACGTATAAAAAAACATTGATGAACGTTGTTTCAACGATATCCACATCTACTCGTAGGCAACTATGTTTCAACTTCATTGCCTGAGGAGTAAGCACTTCATAAGACTAAATATTCAAGGCAAGGCTTCGTCGTTTCCCTTTAAACTTCACCGCAACCAGATTCAACACGAAACATAAAGTGTTTGTACATGGTAACATTAGTGGCGTTGAGAAAAATATTCAAATACAAAAAGCCTTGACATGTTATCCTGCATACATGAAACGTATTGTGGTGTTAGCACTCGCAACATTGCGTCATGGTGTTGACACGTTATCCTGCATACATGACACGCATTGTGGTGTTAGCACTCGAAACATTGTGTCTTAGTGCTGACATGTTATCCTGCATACATGACACGTATTGTGGTGTTAGCACTCGAAACATTGTGTCTTAGTGTTGACATGTTATCCTGCATACATGACACGTATTGTGGTGTTAGCACTCGCATCATTATGTATTAGTGATGACACATTAGTAGCATGCCTACTCGATCACGTATGCTCAGTGTACTATACTCACGTATGCTCAGTGTACTACTCACGTATGCTCAGTGTACTACTCACGTGTGCTCAGTGTACACGCCTCCATGGCAGTGGTAGCGAGGCGGGACGGTCTCCCAATTTTTGGCCAGAGCCACCATGGCGCCGGCGTCCAGGACTCCAAAGCCGAACAGGTGATTGTACTCCAAGCCCACGCCGTTCATCTGCCACGAGAAGCGCCGTTTCACGTCGAAAAGCGAGTTGCGCTTCGACGTCAGCACCGTCAGATGTTGCATGTCGCGCCATGTCAGCCGAGGACTGCGCAACAATGTTTGTGAAACTCATTACAATCAAGGATATACTTCGATTTTTATATACAATCAATCATTATATATTATTTACGATCAACGATATATTTCGATTTCTATACACAATCAATCAATATGTATAATTTACGATCAACGTTATTCTTCGATTTTTATATACAATCAAATATTATGTATCATTTACAATCAACGATATACTTCGATTTTTATACACAATCAATCAATATGTATCATTTACGATCAACGTTATGCTTCGATTTTTATATACAATCAAACATTATATATCGTTTACAATCAACGATATATGTACTTCGATTTTTATATACAATCAATCATCGTACATCATTTACACACAACGATATACTTCGATTTGTATACACAATCAATCATCATATATCAATTACGATCAACGATATACTTCGATTTTTATATACAATCAATCATCGTACATCATTTACACACAACGATATACTTCGATTTTTATACACAATCAATCATCATATATCAATTACGATCAACGATATACTTCGATTTTTAGACACAATCAATCATTATATATCATTTACGATCAAAGATATAGGGCAACATGGGGCAGCGCGCCCCCCACTTTTTTTAAACTAAATTTTTGATGAAGTTTTAATTGATACGAGGTGGTTCTTTGTTTTTTTTTAAAGGTGCAACTAATGAGGAATGTATGATGTGAATTAGGCGGGTATAGAGTTGTTCAATTTTTAATGAAACACTATTTAGTAAAAAGTGTCAAAATGGGCCCATTGCCCCACCCCTGGGGCAATGGGCCCATGGGCTTGGGGCAAGGCGCCCACCCTTGGTCCCTTTACCTCAATTAATTAATTTAACACTGACTTGGCCTCGATAGCGAGAGCGAAAACTCCGGCCGCTTCCGGAGCCGCGGCCGAGGTGCCGGAGTGGGTGAGAGTACACTGGTTGTAGAGGTCCGTGGTCGCCTGCCATCAGAACGACAAGCTTTTACGACAGTCAAAATTATTTAGTACAAGCAGATTAGTGCGGCCTTACTATATCCCTCTCTAACGAATATAACTAAATGTATTTTTGATGGATAATGATCCTTTTAACTAATATTTTCCACGGAATATTTGATTTTCTTTATAAAATATGGAAACAATTATAATCGTCTTCCGATTTAAATTTATTAATACAAATTTAATAATATACGTTTAAAAATTACTTTTTAAAGACAACACTTCCAAAGAATCCAGTGTCTCCAATCTTACAGATGTACGATGAATTTCTCATTTAATTTTCGAATATTAAAAAAATTAATTTTTCAATTTTTTTTAATATATAATTTTTTTTATTTATAATTTTTTTTCAAAATTATTTTTTCTATTAATTGATTCATGCATTGCCTCTGACTTCACACAAGTGTGCAAAATTTCATATCAATTAGACAGGTAAAAGTGTGTCAAATATCAGTTATAAGATTTGTAGCTGACAAAATTGTTTTTTCAATTTTTTAATATAGAAAATTTTTTTTAAATCATTTATTTTGACATTTGATTCATGCATTGTCTCCAACATTACACAAGTGTGCAAAATTTCAGATCGATAGGATAAGTAGAAGTGTGTTAAATTTCGATTACAAGATTTGTAGCAGACAAACAAACCAACAAACAACTAGAAGTGAAGTTAAAGAGAAGTGTTGTAAAAATCAAAGGTAATTATTTTATATAGTCCTTTCATCCCTGTTTTGTAATGTATTTGGACACTAGGAATAACTCTCAGGCTACAGATACAAGCAAAAATGCAAACACACCATAACCCAAACTTAAAAAAATATAATTTAGGAAAGGTACAATGTTCATACCATAAGTGGTACTAGCATTTGAATCATTACTTAAAAAACGTTGAAAAATACAGTATCGTCAATTATTCATTTCAAGTAAATTATAATTATTCATAAAACACATTGAAATAAGAAATTATTGACTGAATCTGAGTCCTACGAAGTTATGAAGCAATTTGCTTCCTATAAAACAGATAAATAATTAAAACGATATTCTGAGGTTACTGAAACCAAGTTTAAATTGAAAGCCTCCGAGTTCCTCATTTTTTTATTATTTGTCTAATTAATTAGCAGGGATATTCCCGACACGGCAGAATCGCGGTGATTTTCCTGGGCAGAATCGGGTAAGGTCGAAAAAGCTCGGGAGGTTAGGTATGACAACCAAGCTATTTTTTCTTTAATTATAGGAATTTTGGATGTCTTACATAACCTTCCGAGCTTTTTCGACCCTACCCGATTCTACCCGGGTAGAATGGTATGGGTAACTTTCACCCCATATAGTAAGTATCTTAAGGCACCAAGTTATTGTAGTTTTATTTACCACGCCGGTGCTCGGGTCCTTGGCTCCGTTGCTGAAGATGGAGGCGAGTGTGGATGAGCAGCTCTCGTCGTAGTGGGCGTTCTCAATAATTTAAAACTAGTTCTGAATCATCTCAAACTAGTTCTGAATCATCTAAAACTAGTTCCTAATCATCTAAATTATTAGTACCAAATAGCATTAGCAATTCTTATTTACCACGCCGGTGCTGGGGTCCTTGGCGCCGTTGCTGAAGGTGGAGGCGAGTGTGGATGAGCAGCTCTCGTCGTAATGGGCGTTGGAGCCGTCGTTGATGGCGCTGTTGATGCTGATGGTCCACATGCTCGCTGCGTACCCGTCACAGTTACAGTCGTCGTCAGCGCCGCCATCGCCTGATGCCCATACGTAGATGTTGCCTAGACCGTTACGGCCCTGTGGTCATCAAATATGTAAAAAATTAGAAATTTTATAGTAATATTCAGCTATTCTGTAATTGACCACATTAATGAATCAGAGAAATTCAATAAGTTATTATGACTTACAGAATAAGCGAGCGCAGTCGTTTGCGATCCAGGCCATGCAATACGGTATGCACGAATTTTATAGCAGATATTTAGCCATTGAATGACACGGAACTTTATTCATATATTGCCTGGAGTGAGTAATACACTGTTAGAAAAATTCCCGTTAACGGTATTACCGGCGTTTCAGTGGCCGGTCGGCACGTGAGAATAAACACCGTGTCGCCGTTTTTATTCTAATTCAACACTAGAAATCCGTAAAACATCTGATAAAAACGGCGAAACAGTTTATTTTCACTGGGCGACCGGCCACTAGAACGCCAGTGGGACTGTTTTTTCACCGTTTTTTCTAACAGTGTAGGCTAGGACAACGTATACCACAATCAAGCCTAGGCTATAGCAACCCTGACAATCAAATACCCACTCATTCGATAACAAATATTCTGCCAGCTAATAAATGCGATATATTATTAGAATACCATGATTTTTCTACTATTATGAATATTAATAGAATATTATTTGAATAATGTAAAGTATGATTCATATTTCGTCAGGGTTGATAAATACCAGCGCGACAAGGCTGTTGCGATTATGGCTGTAGGAAATAAGAAATTTAACAACTTAAATTATTACAAAGATAAAGAACTTTTCTTTCTTCTAGCATATATTTGCCTGTGATCACCTTACATCCACACGCGTATCTAGCAATTAGAGGAGACAAAAAGTAAAATAATTTTACCAATAAATTGACTTTCATAATATAAGGAAAAAATAATAATGGTCAAGCATTAAAAGAACTAGATTCTAGTTATATTCCCTCAAATGTGACTTATTAAATGGAACCATACTTTCCTTCGGGTGATTATCAGCACTCTATTGGTGGGACTTGCAATTTAGTGGGACGATCATAATTTTATTAATAATGAGCGACGCCACCCTTCCCATATCACTTTATCGAACTCTCATTCACTTAAATAACCTCACAACGATAATTGAAGTAGAAAATGAAAATAATTTTCTCACATGTTCTAACTCGGACATTTTACAGTTCCGAGCTTAAATTTCATAAATAGACCATGAAGCCAACCGTCATTAGTTTGTCAAATTATTCGACTACGGTAAACTCGAAATAACGACAATCGGCACCAATTTTCATTATGCTGTGTTAGGAATTGTGAAGCAGCAAATCGACCGCTAGGTTAACTTGGGCAACAAATGGTCGATTTTGCGAGTTGTTGGTACGTTTCCAAACAACAGCGCGTTGAATGTTAGCCGTAAATGGGATTCAACTTCGCTTCCAACTTCGGCATTTTGTTTTAATTCCTCCATGAGGACTGGCTGTAACGAATTTGCGACACTGAAGTCATTTCCGAGAATGATGAACACTATTAAATGAGCTCATGTGTTGAGAAAAGTAATATCCCGTGACGCAAATTCGTGCGACTTGAAAAATTAACAGCTTAATGCGAGATAATGTAAAATAATGACATGGAATTTTTAAATATATTTTTTTAATAATCCAGTAGGAAACTTTGGGGTTATAACTAAGGTACTGTTAATGAACTGTAAAGTACTTATTAAGAAAATACAGCAGCAAATCAAAAATTAATTCAAATAATATATGAATTTGCGACCGGATTCAAAGTATGTACGTACGAATTTCTAAAAGTTTGCGCTAGGCAAACAGAATAAACTTAATCTTTTTTGTATGTTCAGGCATAAAGTATTCTGTTACGCAACTTTACGTATTTGGGCCTAATTATCACGAAATTAGTCTTGAATAATTTTAATTAACATTGAATTAATATTTTTAATTAAGTATTGAATAATTAATTTGTTTTTATCTTTTTATCTCGTATTCATTCCTATAAACAATACACTAATTAATACAATGAATTTATCAATCAATTAAAAGGCGGACCTCGTTGACGCCGCGCACGATGGCCTTCATGGTAGCGTTGCGCGGCCCGTCCACCGTCTTGCCGTCGTCCGTCGGGCCCCACGAGGCGCTGTAAATGTCGATCAGGTTGGGCTCATGGCCCATGCTGTTGGCCTCAATCAGGTCCGTCATGTAGGGCTGGTCTAGCATGCGAATACCTGCATCATACGAACAAACCTATTATACAATAATGCGTTTATCATTTAAACTTATTATTGAATGAACGTATAATCCATGCTTTTATTATCTGTTCCTTTAAATAGTTCACTCTACCATGTAGGGCTGGTTCAGCATGCAAATACCTGCGAAATAAGAGCAGACCTATTATTCATTAATTTGTTTATTATTATGAACTTAATATTGAATGAACGTATAATACATGCTTTCATATTCGGTTTCGCTAAATGGTTCACCCTCGTCAAACTTGCGGATACCTGCGGCGAACGAACAAACCTGCCAATAAATCAATTAAGAACCACCAGCTTAATTAATTATTAATAACGTTTACAATATTCTTTTACAAGTGCTTCCATTCACAAGGTATCGAGCTAAAACTTCATGATAAGGTAGCGCAAATACTATGTCGCCAAGAATAAAGTTATAATGTTCCAACTTACCCAAGCGTATGGCTGACAACGTCAACGCACAAACATGATATTAGAGCTTCTATGTTGCATAGCGCAAATTAATTAATTAAATTAATTAAGCGACAAGAAGGTGAATAAATAGCTATATCACTTAGCAACATAACCAGACTCGCCACTAGGCTGTCGTAAGTCGTAATTCACCCGCCACCAGGCTGTCGTAAGTCGTAACTCACCCGCCATCAGGCTGTCGTAAATCGTAACTCACCCGCCACTAGGCTATCGTAAGTCGTAACTCACCCGCCACTAGGCTATAGCAAGTCGTAACTCACCCGCCACCAGGCTGTCGTAAGTCGTAACTCACCCGCCACTAGGCTGTCGTAAGTCGTAACTCACCCGCCACCAGGCTTCCCATTACTTAAGTGATTAAAGTCTCTTTGCGTTTCATCTCGGTGTTGAGGCGTACAGTTTGAACTTGGATGTATAGCTTGGCATATATGAATAGGGAATTGGGGAAAGCCACTGTATGATTGATACAGAAAGTGCACTCAAAATGTATTATTTCGTTTGAAATGATAATTTTTTGTTTGTGAAAAGTAGAGTAAATATCTAAATATAAATAAAAACAGAAGGTTCATAATACGGCTTAACATAACTCATGACCAAATTCTAAGTCCTTGATTACTTTGGATTTGAAATAACATATTTCCAATATCAAATTGTATGAAATAAGCAATATTTGTCATACAGCTATCTGTATGTACCTCTGTACCTAGGAGCCTATGTCCCTGAAAAATTTAGGTAAATTTCGTTGATGGTACAGCGCAAAGTGGAAGGTATTGATGTTTTAAGATAAACCCATTAGGATAGTAAGACAACCTACTAACAATTTTTGATTCAATATTAGTTGATAAATATTCGGAACTAGATACTACTCGATAAATATTCGTAATTTCATATTACTTGATATGTCGTCGTAATTCAATGTTCCTTAAAAAATCATAATTTGATATTACACAGAAATTGGGTTTAAGTTAAAAAATGCAGTTAAAACATTGATAAGGTGGATAATTGCAAGGGTAACACATTTTGCATAATTTTTACATTAGTTGATTAAAATTTATCGTTAATATTAAATAAATTAAAAATTGCATCATTTGTAAGGAAAGTGGACAGTTTTTATTACAAAAATTATAGCTAAATGCTAATTTTTCTAATTCTAATCAATTAATTAGGTCTAATTAGGCTAATATCATTACCAAACAATGAAAAGTGAGTACAATATTTTTGAACTCTGGCATTGAAACCCCTTTAAATATGAGAAACTTTTTAGACACTATCAAATTAAATGAATTCGGTTCGCGATTCATCAACATAAGCCGCAGTAAAAAATTAAATGGAATTTGTAAAAATTTGTATAATGAACCATCAGACATAATTTTCTCAGTCTGAAGCTGCAGCTTGAATAAATAATCGAAACGTAACTAATGAGGAAGAAAACTCTACTAATCCTGGACTATTTTATTTTACAAATTATTTCGTTATTATTTTCATGAAGTATGCCGTGAGATTTGGAATTAAGCTTGTGTTAAAAGGTAAACCCTAGCTTGACCCCTAGGATGTTTTTGCTATTATAGAATATCTGGACGCAGTTTACGGAAGTCCCAACTTGTTCGCATCGTGCAAGAATAACCTAAATAAAAAAGAGACATTACATTTATTCACTGGAAATGTTTTCGATATCGACAAGCCTGTCATTTTTGAAATCATTTGTCGGCATGGAGATCTATGACTGACATCGGATAGTTGATAATGAGCACGCTTCAAAAGCCAGGCCATGATCGGTCGTGCTATAACATGAGCGGTATACTTGTGATCCCGGAAATTGCGAGCTTCTTTAGCTGTTTTCCAGAAAGTTTTTAGATAAGTTTCACTGAAGTTCATATTATCCTTTTCGTTATTTTCATTTCCAATAGAGCCGTGCGTCGAAAAATAATATATTTTCACAGAGCCAATGCATGATTCTCATTACAACTATTCATTGATATATGCCCAATTAGTTTTCAAATATTCGCAACAGAAAACCGTAACTGCATCACGATCAATAATCGAAATCAATTTCTCAGAGCCAATTAATTCTTCTCGAGGCCATCGTAAACGAGCTAGAAGAAAAAGAGCATGCTAATCCTAACAGTATCGAGGGCGGCAGCAATTGATCAACTTTTTAGTTATTAGTTCCGAGTACAGGTACCATCAATCTCGTATCGAATGTTGGTTGTAATTAACTATACGTGCAAAGGAACGAGCGGTAACTTGGTAATCTTTTGTAGCCCACATGCGGAGTAGTCTAGTAAAGTTATTTGCCCACGACACTATAGGCCGTGAGAATTTCTCTCCGTAGGGAAACTTCCCAGTTCATATGCTATAATTTTCTTTGGGATCAATTAAGTAATAGTTGACATTTTCTTCATATATTCAGGTAATAACATAACATAACATAGTGCTGTCGGCGCTAAAGAGTAGGCCTGATGTGGCCAGTCGCCGATTCTTGAACTTTTCGTGACTCACAGAAGATCTAAAATCGTGTCATTTGACCGGATATTTTTATGACTGACGATGCCACGATAGTTTGAAATAGCTCCTAGACTTCCACCGGGTTCGATATGGTGCTAGGCATTTCAAATCTGAACATATATTTATCCATAGCTTTATCTAGTCTGTTCTTGAACGCGTTCATACTCGGAACGCTAAAGATGTGTAATAGCGTAAATTTGCAACTAGAATTCATGGTGTTTGTAATTTTTGGCTTCGAAAGTTGAACAAATAGGCAAAGCCTTTGTAGTACGCCTATCCAAACTACACGCGTAACTGTCGATCATAAGAATTATTGACTCCACACTTTTATTCATGGCTGCTTATCCTTGATATTTTTTTCCTATTTTTCAATTCTTTTAATTGAGTAAATATAGTTATTCTAATCATGATTTTAAAATTTTTAATTTAGATATAATTTGTTTTATCGAAGCGAACGTTTTTTTCACCTGTTGAACCAGTCGTCGGTGTAGCGTGGATACGGGAACGGGTCGTTGCTGCTGAAGTCCCAACTTGCTCGTCCGTTCTGGAATATTTTTTGTTAGCGACGTCACATATAGGGAAATGAGTGGCATTTTATACAAAAGTGATGCAGTTTTTACCCTTGTGTGTGTCGTCCTAATTTTGTTTGGTTCTACAAAAAGACTTATGACATTTTCTCTTTTTTTTTATAATATGACGCACTCATTTCTCATAGGAGCCAATGACCATATGTTATCAATGAACATATTCTGTCCGTACAATCACGAGAAGTTTGTTTTCTAAAAGTTATCATGCGAAGATAAGTATGTCTTTCTAATATTATTTTACCATTATGAAAATTTATTAGTTACTGACTGAGTGAAATAAAAATTCCCCGAACAGCACTCACTCTGGTGAGAAAAAATAAATTAGAGGATTGGGAGATCATAATGAATTGGAAACGCATTTTCGCAAAATTACCGTTTCATTTTTTACCGCTATAACTTCGCATTATCACCTTAAGTAACAAATAGAATGAGAAACAAACATACAAAAAATCCATTTTTAGTGGTGTAAGTTGAGCTGGATTATTTTTTTTGTGGGATGGAGGTGATTTGTTGGTGATATATTATGTTATAAATTTAATTAATTTGTGCAGACCCATTTTGACAAATAAAAATTACAAATTCCCAATTTTGAGGGCATTTTACTCACATAGTTTCTTTTCAGATCCTCGTGCATGTAGTCGACACCTGTCAGCAAGTACAGAAAAACAATTAATTTCTTTTAATTTTTCTTCTAATTTAATTAAATGTATTCACTTCACTAACTTTCGAGTCATATCTTGTCGACCATTTTAATTAACTCTCAGGAACATTCGAAAGCCATTTAAATTATTCGACCGTAAAATTAATTACTTTCATTGTCACTCGTGCCAAAAGTTATTAATTAATCGTCAATTTCGCATATAAATGTCTTCAAATCAATTAAATAATCAAGCATGTTCTAGTGAGCGCATGATGTGCGGAAAGTATGAGAAATACGGGCGGTATCAAATGCCGCTTAGCATTACGGGATACTCGGATAAATGCAAATAGAAAATTACTCTTCACTGTCGTCGAAAAAAACAAAAAAAAAATACAACTCAGTACTCACTGCAGTGAGTGACAGAGAGCGCATTTTCTCGTCGACGAAAACTTGAGGTCACGGACGGACGGACAGACAGACGCACATGGCGAGCACAATAGTGCATTTATTCCATAAATGAGAAAATGCGCTAAAAAGTATGGTATTTGCAATTAAATAATGCAGGAGGACAATTTATTGACAATCGTTACTTTGTGATTTTGTAATTTTAATAAATACTGAATTTAATAACTTATTTGATGCCGTGTGTTTCCTTAATATCCGCTATCGACATTTTTTGCACAATATCATTCTTTTTATTTATATCACTTGATGCCAAAATTTTTTACTATAAATGATTTTTTATAAATAAAATTTGCACTTCGTATTCTAATTACACAATTCAATGGTCTTGGATTACATTATAAAAGTCTTAAATACACATTAACTTCTGATAACATCATTCACCTTAATCTATTTGTCAATGTGCCAAACTTTTTATTTTCCGTGCCTAATTTTCAAATTCAATTGCAATTCTCTATTATAATGTAAATATTTATCTAATTGAAATATTGGATACAATTATATATGTTAAGATTTTGATGTGATCTCCATTTCTAGTTATAAAAAATGAAGGAGTCATACTCTCGTCATGATTACATGTTAGGTACAAGAACAATTCTGCATGAATCGATAGCACGTATGTATCAGGATCAGAATGCTTATTCTGAGTTAATATCTATAATTACCGAAATTGTGAACCCAATTTATAGCAAGCTTTTTCACAATCTTTATTAATATTAGGTTATATTTCACCGCATGGAATCACATCTAAATTTGGTGCGGTCAGAACTGGATACGTTTTACATAAAGTCATCGATGACGATGTTTTTCTAGAATATTTATTGAGCTTTTGCCATATTCAACCGCATGGAAACAAACTTAAAATGTGTGTGGTCGGGACTCAATAAGGTTTACGAACCGTCATTCATGATGACGTTTTCTATAATCTTTATTGAGCTCTTGTCATATTCTGTCGCACGAAAAAATTTAAAATTTCACTAACCGTCATCCATGATGGCGGTTGTGACATTCTTGCCCGTGTACCCGAGCGCCCACGCGGCCTCCACGTTGAGATCGAGGTGTCGTTTGCCGCCGTTCTGACCAACGTTGCGCTGCAATTGTTAGCATAGCCTCGTTATTAATTACTGGTCATCGTTTGCCCTCGAATATTAAGAATTGATGTATCATAATGCCATCTAGTAATTCAAAATTCTGGCCCACGTTGCGCTGCAATTGCTAGCATAGCCTCGTTATTAATTACTGGTCGTCGTTTGCCCACGAATATTAAGAATTCATGTATCATAATGCCATCTAATAATTCAAAATTCTGGCCCACGTTGCGCTGTAATTGTTAGCATAGCTGCGTTATTTATTACCGACCATCGTTAGTCCACAAATGTTTAGAATTCATGTATCATAATGCCATCTAGTAATTCAAAATTCTGGCCCACGATCGCTGAAATTGTTAGCAGAGCCTCGTTATTTATATTGCTGGTCATCGTTAGGCCACGAATGTTTAGAATTCATGTATCATAATATCATCTAGTAATTCAAAATCGCAGCTAAATTATGGCCACATTTTTGCCACAAAACCTGACTTCTTACATAAATTTCTGTTAAATTACTCAAGGTGCTAAAATTTATTATCAAAACTAAATAGCTCGTCACTCACCAAATACCACTGGTGCTTGAAGTCGGGGTCTGTGGGCAAGGTCCTAGACTTGAACGACTCGGGTGGCACGAGGTTCTCAACCCGCAGCGGCAAGTAGCCGCGCTTCACCCGCCTGAAGCCCAACTGCTGCACCGCATGTGTGATCTGACGGAGGAACAAGAGGCTTGATTATCGGTCGGTGTATAGACTTAAGTTCAGCACATTAAATAAGTTAAGCACATTAAAATATAAGATAAATAAACTAAACTGCTGCACCGCATGTGTGATCTGACGGAGGAACGAGGGGTCTGATTAAAGGTCGTTGTGTAGTGTCGGTGTATAGACTTAAATTCAGCACATTAATACATAAGATAAATAAACTAAAATGCTGCACTGCATGTGTGATCTGACGGAGGAACGAGGGGCCTTTTTTTATCGGTCGATGTGTAGAATTAAGTTCAGCACATTAAATAAGTTAAGCACATTAAGATATAAGATAAATAAACTAAACTGCTGCACCGCATGTGTGATCTGAAGATAGAACGAGGGGCTTTTTTATCGGTCGGTGTATAGACTTACGTTAGGCACCTCAAAAATGTAAGATGAATAAACTAAGGAGCCGTAATCTAAAGGAGACCATATGTCTTGATTGATCGTTGTGTAGACTTAAGTAAGGTACCTTAAAATATAAGAGTCGTAACTAAGGAGTCGTAAGCTGAAGGAGACAATGGGTCTTGATTGCTCGTTGTGTAAGCTTGAGTTCGCACCTTAAAATGTAATATGAGTAAACTAAGGAGTCGTAATCTAGAGGAGAGAATGTGTCTTGATTTGTGTAAGCTTGAGTTCCGCACCTTAAAATATTAGATAAACTAAAATGCTGCTAGTGAATGAGTTGATATGCTGCAAGCTTTTGTTCACTCAATCTTCAGAAAACAATTTTGAAACCATAATTGATACTTGATGCTATCGAATTATCTAATTCACGAATTGCAAATGCCGGGATTTTTTGAAAATGGTAATATAAACATAATTTTTTAGGTTACCGATGATAATATGAGATCAATTCATAAAACTCATATATAAGCTGTCAATTTCACAATAGAACTGGCGTACGAAAAGTTAGATTAAAACCTGAACATGCAGTACACTTCCTGAATAACATACATATTTTTGGCTCAGCAATAACAATCTGTAAAGATTGTGATTGTATTGCTATGATCGACTAGAATGCACAGTACCTACAATAAAGACTTGAAAGGTCTTTTCACGCAATCAACTAAGTCTGAATCCGCTGAATGACCATCATAATTTGCTGCTAAAAAACCTGCGTAGTGATTGACATATCGTCTTTAGTCTCCATTGACCGTTTTTTGGTGGCATTATCGAACTAAAACATTACAACATGGAATTTAAAATAATGTTTGTTGTAAGGAATTTGTTAAGAAGCCATAAAGATGACAGGGTTGTAATATACAGTCAATACGCCAGATAAATAGTTGTACCTATAGAGTTGTATATCTGTTCGCAATTATGGAATTCTAATGCATTAGTAGTTTTGAAAAAATTTCACACGCACAGAGTTAAAGCTTCGAGATTGTTTAGGAATACATACAATCTCACATCGTTAATGCATCTAATTCTATTTTACAATTTTCTTACTGTCATGTAACGTGTAAAAACTTATACAAATCCGATATTTTTGATATTTTCGCAGTAGCACTTGATTCTTAGACGCGTAACATCGGCCTAATCGACAAATTGGTATCAATGATTTGCCGAATGTGACGGTGTGCTTACTTTAAAAAATTAAAGTATATTATTTTCATCAGATTTTTATTTATTTATACCATGGAAATAGATTTGTCCCTTATTTAAATGGCTTCATCTTGCGAAAAGATCTAAAGCGAAAAAAAAGAAACATATTTAATATGAAATTCAAGTAAAACAAAAAAAAACTTTGCCACAGTATGCCGGTTCGAATATTATTACTTTGAGACGATATATATACATGTTGGTCGTACATTACGTAAATATTGTTATCATCGTCGACTATTATTATTACTGAATTCTTGGAATTATGAGCATTGCATTGAAGTTGCGTGACAATCAAATCATTGTTGCGTGACAATCAAATCATTGTTGCGTGACAATCAAATCCGATGTCAATCTAATTAGCCAGGCATATTCAGAGCCTCTGAATGCGTGCGTAATTACCCAACTTGGTGAGAAAGAGAATGTTCATCTCATACGAAGATGATTTAGTTATTGAACACAAGTCATCAACCGCAAATCAAAGGGAAGTTGCGCTCAACATCAAATTCCTGAAATTCACTCAAAATTTGGTTTCTTTTGAGGCTCATCATCTTACGCTGTGGAAATAAATTCATGAAATATATAATGAAGAATGTTCGATGCGCATATGTAGGTTTGGGCAAGAATCTCAAACATTACATTTTCCCAAGCAATTCTTCAGCCCAAGAAATATGATTTGATTCTTGATAAGGACTCCCTAAAAATTTGAACACCTAGTCAAAAAATATTTTCTCTGCCCAGCTTTTTAGCGCATTTTCTCATTTATGGAAAAAATGCACTATTGTGCTCGCCTTGTCCGTCCGTCCGTCCGTCTGTCCGTCCGTGACTTCACGTTTTCGTCGACGAGAAAATGCGCTCTCATTCACTCATTGCAGTGAGTACTGAGTTTTATTTTTTGTATTTTGTTCAAGTATCTAATCTCAGATTAGATACCTGCAGTTCAGTTTCTGCTAAACAATATATTATTTTACAGCGTGACCATAAAATGTTCTTCAATATAAATCGAATAACTTCTATGGCTTCTAAATCAAAATAAAATAAAATATTTAATTTCTTCTTAAAATATTCGAAAATTCAGCAACATTGAATCAAACTTATGCTGCAGTTGTCTCTGAAGTCTCCATATGCCATGCCACAAAAACTCCATGTACCACTGGCGCGCAATTATTAATGCTCTCGAAATGAGCTTCCAGCTTCATGGTGCTGCTAGCATATTTGGATCCTGTGGGTAACATCTTCAGAAAATCTTCGTTTAGGATAAATACTACTGATGCTTTGAGTGTTTCCTTCACGTAAGATATGGTGTGGGGGTTGTTGCGATACATTATCTTTAAGATTTCCCCACAGACACAGATAACGATCTGGGGCCATAATATCAAACCTCGTTCAAGTACACGTAGCGGACAATTTCTTGCCTGTAATTGGTAAGTTTAGCTGGAAAAGCCGTCCACGATTGACTGAGCGAAGCCGTTGACCAAAAATTCAACTCATAAACAAGCCCTAGCGCCAACGCCTACCCTCATAATGCAATAACTATACTCATGCATCCCTATTGACTTAGGCAGTTCGTAAATATTCATGATTGTTTGGCCCCAGGCATGACTCAAGGACTTTCTTTTGTACCTCAACGACTTTCTTTTGTATTAATTGGCATCATTGGCATAGCTACAGAAGAGTGTTCTTGACCGACAAGTGATCGACTGGCAGGAGTACGTGATACAGAGTGCTCGCTGAATTTGTCGGAAGTGAATGCGACAGATTTTACAGTTCATTAACATTATAATGAATGCATATACGAACATTTCTACGCACAATTTCACATAGAGCTGGTGTACCCATTATCATCTTAATATTTCCCTCTTATCGACTTCTAACGCTACATTGACAAACTATTTAAATGCAACCCCAGGGAGGAATGTTTAGATTACAGGCCTAAATGTCTTTTTTACAGTCATTGAAAAAATATATTAGATGTCCACAGAAATACTGCCAAGATATAGGCGCACGGATATTATGTTCCTCTCGCGAAACGGGCCTAATGAAGATCTGACCACAGATGAGATTAACGATTACTAAAATGAGAAAGATTGTGATCAGAGATCCAACGTGAATTCCCAGTGAAACTGATTATTTCTCAACAGATTACTAATTTAAATGTGCGATAATATAAAAATTGTTGATGGTCCAATTTTATTAAGCCGCTTCTGTTTACAGCTGTCAGTCGAATCAATTTGATATTTGTCAGGCGATTTTTATTTAATAAAACCCCGGAAGTTCTAACGGTAGTCTAGGTCCTGATATTTGCAAAGAAAATCGAGAGAGTAGAAGGAAAATAGTTTGAAAAATTGATCTGTGATGTCTAAAAGCTTTTGAACAGAGAAATCAAAACACGTCAAACCAAGAAACTTTTGAAAACAAGTAAATCATGAAGAAATAATGATTTTGTTTGATAGAAGTAATTCAGAATTTTAGTGTGAAATTACGGATCAACTTTGAATGTTAATTAACTTCAGGAACGAAATATGTTATGAGACATGGGCTCTAATCGCGACGGTATTCAATTCCAGTGAAGAACTCAACGTTTTATCAGTGTTGAGCTTGTCACTGAGATTATTTACATGAAAAAATTATTCCATTAATTTTGAGCCACTAATCACTGTACCTGTTATAATCTATAGTATTTGATGAGTCATACTATCGGTGTAGATTATTATTTATTCTCTCATTCAAGTTCCAACACCTACTCTCATCGTCATAGTTTTGTTTAACTTCATTTCTTTATTGCAGTTAAATTCATTCGTTGTTGTCAATCTCACCTAGATTTACTAGCGCGTGACTATGACAGCACAGATTCCATGCAAGTCTATACGTTACAAACGCCGTGGGCGTTCGGCGCTTAATCTCAAGGTCTGACCGCGATCAAATAACTGGCATGCAATTCGACCGAGTTGTCTCATCCGAGAATTGATCGAGCAACGTGACCGCCTCGCTGGATTGCGATATGTGACCACAAATATCGAGCGTGTCACCGTAATATCGAACTCACAGAATCGAGTGCGTCACCGTAAAACACGATAAACACGATCGAATGAATCGATTCAAACGCGAGCGAGTTGTCGGACATGTAAAAAAATTTGAACTGTCGGTGCAAGCAAAGATTACAATATACGTATATATATTGAACGAATTATCTTGAATAGATCGCGAAATTGTATCACACACCAAATATTTCAGGTAAAGTTTATTAATTTGGGTGAAATGATCAAGAGAATTGATTCGGAAGCAATATAAGAAAACTAGAGTTGGATAAACAGAGGACTTGAAATGAGCATACATGCGGTCTGAATTGCCTTGAATGCACTGGGATGGGACACTCATGGAACTTGTGACCAAGCAACAATAAATTACTCGGAAATGCGAATGCGCTCTTATCATTGTTTTATGTAGCGAAAATTATTTATTATTTCTTCGTAACGATAAAATTCAGGATTCCTGAGAGAAGGGGAAATTTACAAATTTGCATGAAATTTATGCCAATTTTTCTCCGGGAAGAACCGTGATCATTTTTATCTGAGTTGAATTATAAATTGAAATGGTAAATGGTAAACAGAAAGTAGAACTTATTTAATTTAAAATGGATTTGGAATTGGAGTATTATACTTTATAATTGTATTACAAATTATTATTATTATTATTATTATTATTATTATTATTATTGAGTGAAAAATGTATTCTAGGGATATCGGGTATGAATTTCGGTGCCATGAAGCAGTTTAAATAAAGTTAGTAAAGTTTTAAGTGAGGTTGTTTCAAGACTGTAGGAATATCTTGCTCCAAATGGGATTTAAAGCCACAAAGTTCCTGCGTTAAATGGCTGTAGGAGTTCCCGCATTAATTGTCGTCGAAGTTTTTGCGTTAAATAACGGTCAAAGTTTCTGTATCATAATGCAGTGGCACCGACTAAGGCAATCTTACAAATTATAAAGCTTGCCTCAACTATAATCCCCATTACATATTTTTTGATGATTTAGATTTTTAATATTTTAAAGCAGGATGTAGTTTATGATGCTTTTTTCTCCGCTAAGCTTCTGAAATTTTATATTTATTAATTTTTTTATTGGAAATGTTTTTCAACAGAAGAGTTTACATTTAATCCTAAAATCTCTCTTCCTCCCCTCTCAAATTTTGTATTCTGCTTATTTCATGATTTTTCTTTTTATTTCCAGATAAGGCTTTCCTGCTCTTTTCATCTTCCTTAATTCTAGACATGTGCACAATGAGCAATTGGGGAAATACTCATGATATTTGATTTAAATATCTTTTCTATTGAATTCAATCTGAAGATACATTTCGCCAGATAAAGGCTGCTTCCAAATGATGGATTAATTTAGTATAAATACGTTTGTTCATTTTTCTTTGTTTAGAGAAAGTAGTTATCATAATTAAAATTAGAATTCCACTGACGTTCAATAATAAATAATTCAGCTAAAACTACGGAACCTCGATTGGGAAATAGATTTACTTGGAAACCGATTCTACTATTCCATGAACCGTACTTCCCAAAAATCTAGAAAGCAACGAAGTTTTGTTCCAATTTTGGGCGTGGGTGTCCGTTTCTGACCAGGGTTGTATTCTGTGAATCATTTTCCTGAGCAGCAACTTTGATAGAATAGAAAATATGTTTGATGGAACACGAGTTCGAGCAGAAATAATTTGAACGACAACTATGGAATGTGCGCACTTGCCCACTGAGGTGCCACCAGAGATAAAAATTTACCTTCCAATCAATATTTTAAATAAAATATTGTATTAAACTGTCATAATACAATGAAGTAATAATAATACTGTAACCCTCATCGAAAACTATTTATCTATATTATAAATCAGAAAGTTCGTTTGGTTATTTTTTGTGTTTTTGTAAAGTGTTTGAATCCTGGCAAGGTGAAGATTAGTTTATGGGAAATGTGAACACGCCATACAAATCGGATTGAGATATTTTTCGGGTAATTTTTTAAATTTTTAATTTTGGCATGGAATACCGAGGCATTACGGAAACAAGAGAAGGAAATTTGTTGGAATACATTGCCGTTATACTAGGTTGCTGCTATCAGTAACTTGCCTCGTTACAATTACAAGGGTTATCTTAATCAACCCGATGTTTATTTTCGCTCGTAAAATCTTATGCATGCTCCACGAGATGAAAAAGCTGGTATGGCTCTTGTGATCTTGCAATAAATATTTCCAATTAAGAAACAACAAAAACTATGCACCGCTGATCTTTGTACGGTTTCTAAGTGTATGACTTGTACTAGTCACAGAATTTTTTGTCGTTTCTTCAAGGAACGAATTTCTTCTTCTCCATTAGAGTAATTTAAGCGCCAAGTCAAGAAGTCTAAATATCAACTGAATAACCGAAAATACATCATGAACATTCTTACCCATGAAATTTTCTTTCTTCGAGGCCCGAAAAAAAAACCAACGATCCCTGCTGAACATAATTAGCCTCTAGCTCTAGCCTCCTCGTCGCAAGGTTTAAATCGAGGCCGACGCTAAATAAAATAAGGCTTCCTAAAGCCGCGCATGCAGCTCAAAGTATCCCGGATATTGGGTCCTAGAAATAGCTTACGATATTTGTTTCTCTCCCAGCAAATTGAGCCGCTGCTCATTTCTTTATCGGACTAACCTTGGGGCGACGGAGCGAGACATTCTTTGAACGCACAACATTTCTTTGTCTAACTTTAGGCCGCGAGAAGCTTTGGTATTTGAAAGCTATTAAATTCACATCGCTTCAGTCGCCAGTGAGTTCCACTAAGTTGTCACAAAGAGCACCCAAAAATTATCTCAGTCTCTCAATAAACCTATACGTGATATATTAAAAAAGCCTATAGTAATATATTTCACGTCACAGCACCGAGACTTTAAGAATAGCCCGCAATTTTTCCTAATCTTATTTCAACACAATAAAAATCTTTCTGAGATCACACTTCAATTTGCGTAAATCTCATCGTTTATACTGTATGAAAACATTCAGTAAATCTAATTATTTGCTAGTCGCGGCAAATCAATGTCACATTAATGCTCTACTTTTGCTGAAAAATAATTTAATTGTTTTGTGAAGAGATGATTTATTTACCCCCTAAGGATTGAGTTTATAGTTTGAATCAGCACCAGCATCGTATTCCAGCAATACAAAAATTTCGAATTTAAATTGTTTTCATCGCTGCCGTTTTGCAATTCTTATTCTGGCCACGAGATGTCGCAATGATTTGAATAATGGAGAGCGAGAGTTGATTGGTTATGGCGGGCTGTGAATACGATTGATTTTTCGACAGGCTGCTTCATGGCAATGAATTGATTTGTTGCCATGCTGTTTCATGAAAACGGATAGATTCATTGCTACTTTTTTCATGGTAAACATTAATTTGTTGCCGCGTTGTTTTCTGGCCATAGATTGGTTTGTCACATTCCTGTTTTATAGTCGAAAAATTTATTTTACGCCACTTTGTTCTCTCGTAATAGAATTGTTTCTCGCTCGGCTTCTTGATTTTTATGTCAATGCTCTGACTGAGAATGCCAATAAATAACAAGATTCCGATGATAAGTTTATAGACTTGGCGAGTCATGAATGTATGAAAGTAATACGTGAGAATAGAATTTAAATAAAATGTCAACTTTGAGAAATGCATAAATTAACGTTAAAAGATTACTGCCACGCATCACTGGACTCTGCATAAGCGAACAGTATAGATATAGGCTAAGTGAGTTTTTCAAAGCCTTCAATTTCAAGGCAGTATTCCGCACTAACCATATAATTAAAAAACTAATGACAGCTTAACGTTTAATGGTATGAAATACTTTACAGCCGCTCTGCATTAATGGATTTAGAATTTTCGCTGCGTTTCTACCACTTGCCAAAAACTCTGTTAGATTTTATGACAGTAAGACTTAATTGTTTGATGATGTTTGTCACAGTATTGACAAAAATTAGTACTATACAGTAGATTGACTAAAGCATGCCAAATTTGAAACAAAATATTTTTGTAAGATGGACGATAGTTATTCTATCGCGAGCTCCGGCATAAATTTGTTTGTGGTTTTTTTCAAACGCTCTCCTCAGTTTAATATAACTTTCTTCTGAAGACTTAAATTAAGTGAAACTTTAACCAAAAATACATTAACCAACTTTTGGGATATGTTTTTAGTTATTCATTACATTCAGTTTAATTGGGTGCTTTAATTAAGTTTAAGTTTAATGCAGCTCACCATGGGGTCAATCTTGAATTTATTTTTATATATTCATTTTATTTAGTTTAATTGGGCACTTTAATTAAGTTTAAGTTTAATACAATTCACCATGGGGTCCACCTTGAATTTGCTTTTAGATACCGGTATTCATTCAGTTCATTTTAATTGGGTGCTTTAATTAGGTTTAAGTTTAATACAACTCACCATGGGGTCCACCATGAATTTGTTTTTCGATATTCATTCAATTCAGTTTAATTGGGTGTTTTTTTTAAGTTTAAGTTTAATACAGCTCACCATTGGGTCCGCCTCGAATTTGTTTTTAGATCTTCATTCAATTCAGTTTAATTGGGCACTTTAATTAGAGAATAGCCTTAACTAGTTTAATACAACTCATCATGGGGACCACCATGAATTTGTTTATGATATCCATTCAATTCAAATTAATTGGGTTCTTTAATTAAGATTAAGTTTAATACAACTCACCATTGGGTCCGCCTTGAATTTGTTTTTAGTTTTTCGATAAATTCAGTTTAATTGGGTTATTTAATTAAGTAAATTAAGTTTAACTTTAATGCAACTCACCATGGGGTCCGCCTTGAGCTGGCGGGTGTGGGCGAGGGAGCCGCGGGGGCGCGAGTGCGGCAGTCCGCGGTGCTGGAAGTGATGCCCGTCCGGCTCACCTACGACCTGCAACACAGGCGTCATGTTTGTGCTTAATTATCTGGCGAAATTGATAGGTAAAAATAGTTATAGTTGTAATAAAGTAAGAGTATAACACGCGCGTCATGTTTGTGCTTAATTATTTAGTGAAATTAACAGCTGAAAACAGTTATAGTTGTAATAAAGTAAGAGTATGACACGCGCGTCATGTTTGTGCTTGATTATTTAGTGAAATTAACAGCTGAAAATAGTTATAGTTTTAATAAAATAAGAGTAGAGAACGCACACGTCATGTTTGTGATCATAAACGTGGTGAAATTAAGAGCTGAAATTAATCATAGTTGTAATAGAATAAGAGTGGTGAACACACACGCCAAGTTTGTGATCAATCGTGGTGAAATTAAAAGCTAAAAATTGTTATAGTTGTAATAAAATAAAAGTGGAACACTCACTTCATCTTTGTGATCTCTAACTCGGCGAAATTAAAAGCTAAAATTAGTGTTAACTGTAATAAAGTAAAAGTGGAGCACAGGTCATGTTTGTGATTAATCGTAACGTACATTCTAGTGGAAATACAAACGGAAATTGTTTACTGTTTACTTCCTACTATTAAAGTAGAAATGAGACTGCCGTAAATGCAGAAGTTGCATTAGAGCCAATAATAATATTCACGTCACATTCATAAGCTTTTTTAATGTAAATTAGAGAAACTGATATTGTATTGATAAAGCGATAATTTACGTAGGGTCTTGTAAGGTAATGATCATGGAGCAATCATATTAGTGTAAGTGCTTTTTGTGTATTTTACGAGCAATACACAAGAAATACTTTTTCAAGATGTAGTAAGTAATATGGGAAGTAATATACTGTCAACAGAGATTATGTGACACTGTCAACTGGAGCAATCTGAGATGTCAGCAGACTAAAATGATATTGTGTAAGATCTTGTAAGGTCTTGATCTTGGAATACTGACATTAGTGTGAGTAATATTTTGCATTTTATGTGTAATACACAAGAAATACTTTTCAAGATGTAGTAAGTAATAAGTGAAGTAATATACTGTCAACAGAGATTATGTGACACTGTCAACTGGAGCAATCTGAGATGTCAGCAGACTAAAATGATATTGTCAACAGGGACAATTTGATACAGAAAACAAGGATAAAGTGATATGGTCAACAAGGACAATTTTACAGAAAACAAGGATAAAATGATACAGGCAACAAGGACAATTTGATACAGAAAACAAAGATAAAATGATGCAGTCAACAAGGACAATTAGATACAGAAAATACGGATAAAGTGATACAGTCAGCAAGGACAATTTGATACAGAAAATAGGGATAGAATGATACAGTCAACAAGGACAATTTGATACAGAAAATAAGATAAAATGATACAGTCAGCAAAGCCAACATGTCGCATTCAATAATATAAATAAGTTTAAATGTTGTTGAAAAAGCATTCAATTGATCAACCATCATTGCCTAAACTAATTTAAAGGAGCTACCAAGTTATTTACCTTGTCTTTTTGAAATCATGGTTGCCTATTATACCGCGATGAATAACGTAATAATAAATGGGCGATAATATCGAGTTTTTAAATGCGGAGTTTGTCCATAAGAGCGCCGAATTTCTTTTAATGGAGCACTGTTGATCACACGGCAATGATTGGCGATGAACGTGAACGCTCTGACAAACAGTCATCACCATCAAGGCTAAAGTCAGGCGAAGGGACGACTCTAAATAATGAAGGTTTGAAAGCAGACACTAATACAAACAGAGTTGCTCAACTCTAAATAATGAAGGTTTGAAAGCAGACACTAATACAAACAGAATGGCTCAAGTCTAAATAATGAAGGTCTGAAAGCAGACACTAAAACAAACAGAATGGCTTAACTCAACATAATGAAGGTCTGAAAGCAGACACTAATACAAACAGAATGGCTCAACTCTAAATAATGAAGGTCTGAAAGCAGACACTAATACAAACAGAATGGCTCAACTCTAAATAATGAAGGCCTGAAAGCAGACAATAATACAAACAGAATGGCCCGACTAAAAATAATAAAATTCTGAAAGCAGACAATAATACAAACGAAAAAGCGATATCGCCGTGTCTTATTGAATTGAACATTTGGATCAACTAATTCTCAAATTATCCTTTGATTGATTTTTCCTTTGGTTAATGATGCTTGCTCATCGTGGAAAAAGTCCGCTTTATAAATTAGTATACACTTCGAACGCTTAGATTCATTTATCGGCGCGCATGATATCTAAAAACTCTAAATGTTAACGAATAAGTTGAGAACAGCCAATAAAGATTCTATCGTCTGCAATAAATCAATTTGAAATCAGTCAAAACTATATTGCTCAGTTTCATTAGTTGAAGCTGGGTTATTCCCAATTTCATCTCTCCTTTCAAAAATTTTACCAAGTTTTACTTAGTATAATTCACATATTTTTAAGTATATATATATTTTGATTCATTTCCAAATTCCCAAACACATTCATGTTAGTTAGATAAAAAATTTAATGTCAACCGAAATTAATTTTTAAATTACTGAAGAACGAAAGCTAATTTTTTCTGGTTTCAATAAATATTTCGAGTTGAAAAACTCGTACGTGACAATGAGTCCAAATTTATGTAAAAAAAGTTGACATCGCATTATCAAGGATTCAATTTATTTCAAGACGAGTCAAAATCCTCGATTGTTACTGATGCATAGCAAAACTTGAAATTTTAGCTTATTTAATTATAATTTGAGCAACTTGATTGTGAGTAAATTTAAACACGTATGTGTTTTCTAATGGCCTGCGAAAACGACTTCAATAATAAAGGTATGAAATGTATGTGGAAAAATATTTCCCGAAATTCATAAACCGTACGGCTTTTTGAATGAAATTCGCAAAGTTTGAGGTGAATGATGAGTATCTGTGTTATATGAAATACTCATCAAAAACTATATTTGAAGAAAATTTTTATTTATTTTAATAGTCCTTGAATACATGAAGGAGAAGTAGGCATTCAAAAATTTTCAAGTCACTGTTTAGTGATTTTCATAGTTAATGTTTATATAAAAAGAAATTACTCATCCTAAATGATATTCGATGTAACTGCTTTCTATTGCTTTGTGACTCTCATCGCCCATGGTTATATGGAGGAGAAATACCCATCCAAAACAATGTTTGCGGTCATTGCTTATTGACTCTTATAGCACATGATTCTATGGAGAAGTAATACCCATCAAAAACAATATTTACGGTCACTGCTTAGTGACTATCATCGCCCATGGTTATATGGAGAAGTAATACCTATCCAAAACAATATTTGCGGTCACTGCTTAGTGACTCTCATGGCCCATAGTTATATGGAAAAGTAATACCCATCCGAAACAATATTTGCGGTCACTGCTTAGTGACTCTCATGAACCATGGTTATCTGAAGGCCACAAGGAGACAATAATTTGCTCTCCTCCTGAGGGTATTGATCGCCCTATGCTCGCCCACGTTCTATCATCCGGCTACACCCGAACACTCGAGCTGAGCACCGTTTGCGGTCTCCTAAACTTATTAATTCCACAAATCGATTATCAAAGGTTTGATACGATTTGAAGTTTTGTTTACATCACAAATTATTTAAAATAAGAATTTGGTCCAGAAACTCATAATTTATTCTTACATTTTAAATTTTCAATTAGGATTTGAATTAATCCTGCCATCAAAAGATTTTGAAAGTTCATAGTTTGCGATTAATACCAGTTTGTTCTTCATCCGACCGTCTTCGCTGAGGTTATTCTATTGTTCGAGCTTAACTTCAGAACGCATTCTAAATAGACGCTCCAGTGTGTGAAGTTAACTTAGGCGAGTGCTTGCGACNGTGCAGAGTGAAGGACTCTAAAGTATCGGGGATTTGCTCGAATAGTTGAAGGATGGAGAAGTTTGTTGTTGCGGCTAGCTCGAATGTGTTATGTTGAGGTAACTTTAGTTACGTATAAGATATGTCAGTTATCTTCGCTATATTATTTTCAATTTATATTGACGTCAGCGCTTTACGCACTACCTCATGTACAATTCAAATTACTTTCCGTAATTTAATCTGACAAAAAACTGTAATTTTTCGGAAGTTATTGCTGATTTACATAATATAACTTTTGACCAAGATTTTGAAATCTTGGAAAATAAATTTAAGCAAATGCCCGCTCGTATTCGGGTTTTATCAATATGTGCTTTTTATGTTTTCAAATCATGATAGTTCGTAGTCTGCGAATTATTGTTTTAGGTACTAAAACACGTGTATGTTGCTTGCTAAAGTGAAGTAATTAGTTCTAAAGCAACGAAAGGAATGAAGTTAAGATCAAATTTCTCATCCAGAATAAGTTATCCAATGAATATTTTGTTCTTGCCTTTACTAAAGTTGTTATTATGATATTTTCAACGCTGAACGTCAGCTCGAAAGTACTTTGTTAATTTATTTCAATACTTGTGAATTCGTAATTCTAAAATAAATTAACAACATCTCTTTAATAAAAAATTTGTTTGATTTAAACCGATTCCTGTCATTACAAAAAGATAAAATCGAAGCCTTTCTTTGAAAGGCTAATATTGTGTCTAGCTATACCAGAAACTTTTAGATCTGAAACTCCGAGTCTGTAAAATTTTCGCCATGCAATAACGAATAAACTTCGTCATCTGCCAATTGCGGACCATGATTCTGGCTTAGTACGGCTTCTTATCCTTCATCATCTTGACACTAAGTCTTCATTTAAAAAAATATTTGCTCACGAAAGAGGAGCTTTTGGATTATTTCGTCGTTAGCCAACAAAAAGTCTCAGCCAAGACATAAGCCGGCTTCATGTGTCCGGAAGTTCTGCATCAAGACAACACTTTTATCAAGTTTGCGGTCCATAGCCATGGAATTATAAGAATTTTTTCTTAAAAAATCTAAGCTTTGAGCGTTCGTTGTTCCACTGTAGCGAAGCCGATCATGTTCCAGCATTAGGAGCAGCTGAGCCAGACGTCTGGC